AAAAGCATTTGGCCGAATACTTTTGAGCGCTACTGTAGATATCTGGAAGAACTTTTTGAAACGTTATCAAAAATTCAGTTAAAAAGATGAATTTGAAGGTGTAACTCATATTTACAGACCGTCTGCCCTATTTTATTCCTACATATACCATCAATGTTACAACACTGTATGACATTTTTTGGTATGACCAGCAGCCTTGCCTTCATTTATGGCACTCATACAATATGGAACTTATTCCCGCTATTCAGTCCATTGATTACTATGATATTCCTAAAAGAATATCGTTATTGGTTTCTTAAAAAGGTTGGCGTGAAATCCAACAGCAGAGTCCTTATAATGGAGATCGCTACAACAACTCGAATTATACCTACGACAGCTCAGATTTCTTCACGAAGCAGATCTCTTTAACGTATTAACTGTTCGAATAAATAGACAGGTTACGTTTTGACTAATGTATAGGTTCATTTGAACTTAAAGACAAAGTTCACGATTAAGTGGGGGTAAATATTTCAAACCAATAGAAAGGTGATAATTCAGAATAGGAGAAAAGAAGGGAAGAAAACGCGAAAACTGCGACTCCGAAAGTGTAAGAGAAAAAAACGGGTAAGCAGTTCCATGAACAAATATTGTCCACCAAAATCAGCGGAACTCTAACAATTGAAACCCTATTCAAGTCTCTAAAGATGTCAAGAAGTTTCCCAAACATTATACTAGGGAGTGGTAATATTTTGCATAGCCTTCGTGAGACCATCTCTTTGGAAAATAGCTTGGTCCTTCCTTCCATTCCAAGCTTGCGAAATTGTGCAGGTTTCTTAGGCGAAGTGTTCAAAGGGAGTGAGGTGTCAGAAGTATGAACTATTAAACAGGAATTTTTCAATTCCGTCAAGAGCATCAATAGTGAGGCGGTAGTATTATGAACTCCACGGTACAGACCCGTGATCAAATCCCGGTTGGTGCCAAACTTTGCAATTGCGCAGCAAAAACATCTCACTAGGTAAAAATTGCTTGCGATTTCCACTGATGTTAATGATGTTAAACACAAACTATTCAAAGTGAGTGAGGCGCCAGAAGTATGAGCTCATTACTTTCGAACTTTTCAATTGCTCCGAGAGCACCAATGGCGTAGCGGTATCATTGTAAACTCCCATGGTACTGACCCAGGTTCAACTCCCGGTTGGTGCGAAACTCTTGCAGTTCCGCAGTCCCAATGGATGAAGGGTCATAAGTAATCCAGTCTAGAAACATTCTTCCTGAGAAAGAATGGTGTGATCTTTATTGTCCACTGAGACAAAGATGCTAACTGTGATCCCTCCAATTCATTTGGAGAGTGATTGTTCGAAGGAGAACCATTTTTATGATTTGTCATGTTGTTTATATGTTCAGCAATTCTTCCCTTAGTTTTTCATATAATAATGTATATTGCACAATGGCATGTAAGGCAGTTTACAACGTTCTTTTCATTATAATCAGTATTGATACCTTTATGGTGGAGGTGGTGTAGTGGCAAGTGGCGCGCTATCTCACACTTACGGTCAGGGGGGACACCGCAAGTCATTGTATAGGCCACATACGCAGTCATTACGCCACTACGATTCTGAATGAAAAGTCGAGTGCGGAGGCGCATCTCTCACACGGGATTGTTTAGCGCCAAGAACTCTATCCTTTGACTTTATAATCAGTATTGATACCTTTGTATGTTCTGTCATTTGAAATAATGCACATTGCTAATTTTTTTATTACATTTGCATTCTCTGTTATTATAAAAGAAATCTGAAAGGTAGTAGTTATTGGCTTAATTCCTCACCTTTATTAATTCTTTTTCATGATAATAATTACTAGCCAATATTTGCATTGTTGTTTTTTGACTTTAAATCTAAATGCTCAAGTGACCTGATCCAAATATCGTGAGGAATCTTTGATAGAAGTTTAACGAGCTGTAAGTCTCGTTCAACCCATATCGGTTCCCTCTGCTGTGGTCTTCGCGTTGAAATACCGCTTTTAGAGAAGGAGGGCAGTAAGGATAGGATACTGGCCCTCTTCCCTCAATTTTTTCGTCAGGAGCCTACGGTGAACTTCGGTACACCTCGTGTTTCGTTGGTTTTCTTCATACACATGATTAGTTCACTAGAATTCTATGTTTGCATCTTTACTGTAATTAGACGAAAGCATCACTTTGTACAGACATGCATGGGAGGGCGAGTTTCGTTGAAATGATCATTTTAGTCGTTGAGCTTAGTCTTGATCTTGTGCAAGATATTCATGAGCATATCGACTGTGCTTGGTTCTTTTGCGGATGAGGCGGCACTCTGGAAAAAATGTTATGAAACGATGTGCACATGCCTGACTCGGTACGGAATCCTTTACCTTATGACTGCGGAACTTCGCTTTCAAGCAGCAGATATTCTGAGTGCATTGGTCGTATTGTGGAAGGCAGAC